TGACCGCAGGGCGAGCCGAGAAGTCAGGACAGCGGTGCGAATAGGTTCGTGAGACACACACACGACATATACACACACAAACATAGAGGACACATACACACACAAGAGATAGGACACAACCCACGCACAAGAGAGAGACCGAGAGGACATACACCACACCAATATCGTCACGCAGGTCCAACGAGGCTTGTGGCGGAGATCCGGTGGTGCTTACGTCGTAGGCTACAGATGGCCGCCCATAAAACAGAGGCTGTGTCTGGGCAGGAAAGTAGAGAAGTATACTCTTATGTAGGAGCTGCAAAATATCCTCGCAGCTGTCACTGACTATTTGGGAGTGCATATTGATGCGAGACTGCGCTTTGACGAGCACCTGCGCACATGTCTCGCAGAAAGCTCTCTATGGCATACGGCATTGGCACGCATTATGCCTAATGTAGGGGTCCTGGGCAAGAGCCGGAGGCGCTGACTAGCGTAGTAAAATTCCATTCTCTCGACGCAGCCCCTATTTGGGTGATGCCGATGGGCATTCAGTCATACGACCCGGGCTAAGTCGGTGCATTAAGAAGGTCAGCCTTGCGGGTTGCTCGAGGTTTCGCACTGTATTATGATGCTGTGTGTGTTAGAAGATATGCCTCGGATCGACCTCATTGCAGCAGAGAGAGCTAGATTCTATTTGCGGCAAAGCGGGAGGGCCTCCAAACTGGAATACCATACGAAAGAAGAGAGGTACAAGGACCAATTGCAGCGAACGATGCGAGCAATCATCAACTGGGGGGGGGGCGATGACCAGTTTCGGGTCATGTTCCGACATCAGGCGTGTCAAAGGACATGGGAGAATAGTTTCTTATCTAACTCAGATGCGACAGGGCATGATGTTACCTACAGTAATCAGCTCCGATTCCGGTTGGACGATAGCTCTCATTCCAAGGTGTGTTTTCCCGTGATGAAGAGTAGGAACACGTGTTCTTTCATTGTCCCGTTCGCAGTGAAAGGAAGAAGTCACAAAACTTTCCCCTTCCAGAGGAAGCTGATCCCTAGACCATCGTCACTAGGATGCTGTGACAACAAAGTATGGAGGCGTACCACCAGCCGCAAAGGTCTTGAAGACGCTCCGCTTCCCGAGGAGCAGTTTACGAAGAAGACTCCCGTAAAGTTTCGGTG